GTACCTGTTCGCTAATGTACCTGTTCATCACTATCGCGCTATGTGCCGTAAATGATAATGAAGAGATGCGACTGTTCGCGTGAGTGAAACGACTGTCCTCATGACGAACGCTATTTGCTGACGTCATCCTACGAACTTCTTCTACAGTAGGATTCGACACTATCTGTCGATAATCGACTTATAGAAATGCTAAGTATGAATCATACCACAACACTCCCCTTCATTTCTGGAAGTTTGATAGTGTCACTTCTTGAAGATCCCCCAAAGCTTGTTATAGTACTGAAACTTCTGTCGTGTCAGCTTATTCGTGAGGAAGTCGGCAGCCATTTCGTTGGTCGAACAGTAAACCAATCGCATCCTCCCCTTCTCAACTTCATCCTTGACGAAAAACTAACGCACTGAAATGTGTTTCGTCCTATTGACGAAGCTGGGTTGGTGCGTGATGCGAATTGCACTCTGAGTGTCGCACTGTAAAGTAAACTGAGTACTCGTCGTCAACTTCGCTTCTTCCAAGAGCTCCTGCAGGTAAAGTCCTTCGCGAGTTGCTGTGCAGACAGGGATAAATTCAGCTTCAGCAGAGGAGAGAGCAACCATCTACTGCTTCCTCGAATTCCAAGAAATAGGCCCGATATGTTCAAGGCGGTAGATAAAACCAGTACGCGAGCGTCGATTAGTAGCGTCGGCAACGTGATCGACGTCGACGAACCCATGTAAATATAGCGTTCTGCACCCGATGACGTTGTAGACTAAACCGACGTCAGGAGTTGATATGAAATACTGAAGCGCGCGCAGGAGATCAAGTTGGTGCTCCTCTTCAGGACGTCGTAGATACTGAGTGAGCTGGCTAGCAGCATAGGCTAGATCTGGACGACAAGTAACGGCCGCGAAGAGTAGACAGCCTAACTGCTGTTGATAGTTTTGTAAATCAGTTAGACTCAACGGTATAGTATTCGGTTTGTAATCTGTCGGTAGTGAACGGTACGGTGTAGTAACTGTAGTAGGAGTAAGATTGAAGCGGGCAGCGAGCGTCGCTGCATACTTCGAAGCGGTTAGATGAATAGACGTCGGTGAGCAGGTAATGTTTAAACCGAGAAACTGTGAGACTGTCTTGGAGATGGTAAGCTGTAGGTTTTTCTGTACTTTCAGTATGAAGATATTGGCGAGCGAGTTAGTCGTACTGACGTAGAGAATATCGTCGACGTAAGGAACGAGTATAATGTAGTTGCTGCCATCGGTTAGAAGATACTGTACATTCCCTGATCATGCGGTAGTTGTCGAAATCCAGCAGTCAGAAGCTGTGAGTGGAGATACTGCTGCCAGAGCCGGGGTGCCTGTTTAATGCCGTAAAGTGACTTTCTGAGACGGCATACGCTTGGTGGGTTAGTAGTATACGAATGCGGGTACTCTACTAGAGTGAGTGCGTCGATGGGTATATAGAGAAAGGCATTCGCCACATCGATTTGGCGAAGTCGTAGATTGCGGCAGGCGGCAACACAAAGTAGAATGCGGACACTTGTATGTTGACCGACATGAGCAAATGTAAGCTCGTAGTCAAGGCCAAAAGTCTGCTCGAACCCGCGGATGACCCATCGCGCTTTGAATTTCTCAAACGACCCATCTGCATTAGACTTGACACGGAAGACCCACTTTCCGGTAAGAACCTTTCTCCCTTTTATCTATGATGTTGGTATCAGCTCCCATGTGCCGCGACTATTAAGAGCTGCTAGCTCTCTGTCCATGGCTTCGTGCCATTTTTCTCGGTGAGGACTCGTAAGAGCTTGTCGAACTGTTTTCGGTTCAGGTATTTTACTGTCGTTGTATTGTAATGCGACTGCGAATCCAAGTATCTGCAAACCGGTTTCTGTAAAACGCGGACGTTCTTCGTTTGCACCTGCGGAATTTTCTTCTGACCCTTCTTCCCCCCCAATTTCGTCAGGTGTAACACGAACTGCCTCGTTGGAGACGGCTGGCATCGGCTGCTGTTGGCGATCACGTTCATAACTAAAATGGACTTCACGAACGTCATCCGGGTCAGCATCAGCGAGGGGAATAAATTTCGGGATGCAGTCGACGTAACAAGTTCGGGAATGTCTGTTGCGGCAGCTTCGGAGGCTTCAGAAACTGCCTCGTCCTGTACATCAGCTTCGGCTTCATCAGTTGCAAATGCACGCGAGCCTTCGAACAGCCTGGCAGGGTTGGCAGCTGCTGCCTGGTAGGCACGAAAAACGGGCAAGGTGAGTCGCTCATAGAAGAGACAATCACGTGAAGGCACGATTTGGTTTGATCGAAGATAAAAAATCTTCCATGCGTGATACTTTTTTTCGATGCCGAGGTGTACCCCTCATTTTGCTCAATCTGAAAATTTGCCGAGTGCTGCAGTTTGAGGTCGATACTGCACGACACACCCAAAATCTCGTAAGAGTTTTGTACTTCCCACTGTACGTGTCCACTGCAGGTGAGGTGAAGAAAACTCAGGCAGTGACGTGGAAGACAGCAGGTTGTGTAACAGCACGGCGTGGTCCATCGCATACGGCCAAAAACGAGGAGGAAGCGCTGCCTGCGTCAGCAGAGCACGCATCTTCTCCTGCAGAGTCCGATTCACCCCTTCTGCTACCCCCATCTGTTGGTGTGCATGTGGCAGTGACTGCTTCCGTTTGATGCCGAGGATTTGGAGGTAGTCTGTGAAAGCGTTGCTCGTGTACTCCCCTGCACCATCACTTTGAAATTCTTGCAATTTCGCTCCAGACTCTCTTTCAGCGACGGCGAGCCATGCGACGAAGACCGAATGGGCGAGATATCGAGCAGGAAGGTTGGCTGTCCAAACATAGCGAGTAGATGCTTCGATGAAGGTAATCACGCACTGCTCCTCTTTAGGTCCTGCTTCAGGTAAGTTAAGAATATTGCTGTAGACTTTCTGCATTAGTTTATAATGAGTGGAGCCAGGAAAATGACTCGGAAACGGGTCATGGGTAGGATTGGCGATCGGACACGTGGCGCAAACCGTTGGGCGAGACTGCGGTTTCATTTCCGTGCCGTCAGGTAAAAGAAGACTATTTTTATCAAGAACTGCTGCTCGTATTGAATGATTTAAAATCCCTTGCGATGGATGTCCTAACCGTTGATGCCAAACGTCTTCTGTGGCTTTGTGTCCTGATGACCGCAGATAGAAATTGGCGTTAGTATAAAATGAAGAAATGATGAAAGGAGAAAGAGTTGAAGACATGTCAATCTCCCCTTCAACAAAACGGGTAAGTGGTAACTGAACATTTGAAAGTTCTGCTGCAGTTGCGATTGCAACGTCTTATACTGCTTCTGTTGATGTGTGGGCAGACGGTCCTGCGACAGCTACTGGGAGACTCGGCTGTTTAGCGACTTCTGCTTTCACGGCTTCCTCGACGACTTCGGGTTCATCAGCTGCAAGTCCACTAATATCTCCCCAAAGTGGAGCTGGAGTTCCTTGGAAGGCCGCGCGAGTGTTATAAAATGTTCGCCAAGCATTGGCGCCTTCATCGGCTGTATTGAACTCCCAAGTATCCAGTGCGGTAAGAACGGCAGCTGCAGTTCGAGAAGCCATTGGTACAGTAGTTGCCTGAAAATCAATATCCACTTGTTGATAATCTGTTTCGTCTGGATGATCCCAGGGACCGAGAGCAAGGACACGTTCAGAATCACCCGAGGTGCCTTGTGCCATGAACTGAAGAACGGATACCCCATATTGAGTAGCTGCACGACCAAGGTAAGTGTTCGTTAAACTGTGCCATAACTCTTGATCCATTATATTACAATTCCCTTGTGTGCGAATTTTGTGTGCCAGGAGTTGAGCTGTGGAGAGAAGATTGAAACCAAGGCCGACGACGATAAGGACGTTGGTAACATGTCAGGAATATCCCGTGTCGACGGACTCGAGCATTACACTCCCGATGGATCTGGCCATAATAGTTCGTCCGTTTGCGACTGTGACAGGTATCGGACGACGAAGCGGTCGCTGGTTGGTGATGAAGCTTTGTTGCAGTGGAGCACATATGCCAACCGCAACAGCTGTCAAGATACCAAGTATTGGGTCCTGAAATGACTCGAGCAAGGTTAGCGTAAACTTGCGGTAAGGGAATGCCTTCAGCACTGGTGGTTTCTTGAATTTGTGTCTCAAAATCGGTTTCTGAAATATCAACTGTCGTAATACATCCAAAAACTCCTTTTCCTGATGTTGCAGATGGAAAAACCGGAGGACGATGCTATGACGGAGGTGGATTCTTCGGTGGTTTCTGCATGTGCTGCGTCTGGGACATCGACTGCTGTGTTGGCTGATGTGACTTTGGTAACTGCTGCGAACGATGATATGGTTGTGAAGTACTGCGTCGGTTTTGATGTCGACTGCGACAAGTCTGGTAAGTATGTCCTGGTTTCTTGCAGAAATGACAGAAGGGATATTTCGGGGGAAGTCGTTGCTGCGGTTCTGGATTTGAGTAAAAACTTAAATGTATCCCCTTCTTCTGATTGCGTTGTGACTGCAGGTCAAGGTCTTGCTATTCTGCTTGAAGATACGAGGAAATCTCGGCTTCTGAGAGATTCGGGTTCATGCGCAAGAAGGCGCGCGTCTGTCACCACTCGGGACCAAGTCCAGCAAGAAGAACCGTGAGATACCTCTCACGAGGGAAGTATCCACCACTCTTCTCCAATTGATCGTAGTGTGCGGACACGGTTGACGTAATCCATGACATTCTTGTTTGTCATCATCTGCACATTTGTCAGCTGCAAAAGAATCTTACTCACTGTGATTGTATCCTTTGCCATGTACACCCCTTTTAAGTGGTTCCATGCAGTTTCAGCTGGCATAAAGCTGGAATGAAAGGATTGAATGCCGAGCTTCTCTTTTGCCGATAAGTTTCGAACAAGTACCGTATATGCCCCGAAAGAGGCGTGCAAGAAACTCTGCTGCTCCAGTTATGTTCCCATAACAGGATACGTGAACTCGGCGGTAAAGAACGGCCATAGCCCGGCGGACTGCGCAAAAGTTCAAACTCGAAGCTTCAGGAGTAAAAATCAACTCCGTTAAAAGGTATAGTGGTCTTGATCTGTGTGCTGTTAAGTAAATTCGGTGGCTGAAAAATAATGCCCTGTTGTTGAGGCTGTTGCTGTTGTTGCTGTTTTTGAAACTGCTGTGGATGTTGCTGCTGTTGCTGTTGTGGCTGTTGCTGCTGATGTTGTTGTTGCTGTTGCTGTTGCTGTTGTTGTTGCTGAGCAGGTGATCGCTTGAAGATGTAGAAGGGCTGCTGTGCTGCGACTGCGGCTGCTGCGTAAAAGGTGAGAATGCAAAGAAGCCAGTACTTGGAGATGGAGCTCCACGCATGTAACTTGAGCCGTCAAGACTCATTCCACTAAACGCAGACGACATTGACTGAGTTGAAAACTGCTGTGCTGTTGACTGATGTTGTGCTGTTGCCTGTGTTTGTTGTTGATGCGCTGCAGGTGCACTTGATGAAATCCCTGGAGTACTGACAGAAGGAGGATTTTGCTGCTGCATACCGATGTGCGCATAAGCCAATGGAAACGGTCCAGAGGCTGAGAGACCAGTGGTGGTCATGGAGACAGGTACTCCAGTAGTTTCGGTACTAGATCCGGTAGATGGTGCTGGGGATGTTCCAGTCATTGTTGACAGTAGTCTTAATTCTAGACAGCTCTCATACCATGTAATAATTTGACAGGTGTTGCAGGAGACTAAGTATAGAATCTGCAAATACGAACACTTGGAAAACCTCAAGTGTTGGCCTAGGATCTTTACTTGAATGGTAGACTAGTAAGACAGCGGAAGTCTTGTAAAAGTGAACCCGAGCATATACTTCTGTGGAAGTCAAGGTTGACAATAGAAAGGCATAACAAGGATTTATAAATCTAGGAAAGTACCTGTTCGCTAATGTACCTATTCGTCACTATCGCGCTATGCGCCCTAAATGATAATGAAGAGATGCGACTGTTCGCGTGACTGAAACGACTGTCCTCATGACGAGCGCTATTTGCTGACGTCATCCTACGGACTTCTTCTACAGTAGGATTCGACAACACTCCCCTTCATTTCTGGAAGTCCGATAGTATCACTTCTTGATAATCCCGCAGAGTTCGTTGCAGTGTTGAAACTTCTGACGTGTCAGCTTCTTGGTGAGAAAATCTGCAGCCATTTCATTGGTTGAACAGTACACCAATCGCATTCTCCCCTTCTCGACTTCATCCTTGACGAAAAATTACCGCAGCGAAATGTGTTTCGTCCTGTTGGCAAAACCAGGTTGATGCGCAATTCTGATTGCACTTTGATTGTCGCACTGCAGGGTGAACTGTGTACTTGTCGTCAATTTCGCCTCCTCGAGTAGCTCTTGCAGATAGAGACATTCGCGAGTAGCTGTGCAGGCAGCTATGAACTCAGCTTCAGCAGATGAAAGAGCTACTAGCTCTTGCTTGGTAGAATTCCACGAGATAGTTCCAATAGGCTCGAGGCGATAGATGAATCCGGTTTGTGATCGACGATTAGTAGTATCTGCTGCGTGATCAGCATCAACGTACCCGTTAAGATATAAAGTTTTCGAAGTAGTAGCTTGGTAGGTAAGTCCAACTTCAGGTGTCGAAATATAATATTGCAGAGCACGAAGAAGATCTAGCCGATTTTCCCCAGAAGGTCAACGCAGAAATTGCGCGAGTTGGCTAGCGGCGTAGGCGAGATCCACACGACACGTTACGGCTGCGAATAGAAGGCAACCAAGTTGCTGCTGATAAACCTGTAATTCCGCGTTATCGAGTGGAGTAGTATTTGGTTGATAGTTAGTCGGCAGAGATCGGTAAGGAGTAGTTACTGTTGAAGCTGTGAGATTAAACTGTGCGGCTAGCGTAGCTGCATACTTTGAAGCTGTGAGATGAATAGCTGTCGCTGTTCGGTGGATATTGAGTCCGAGAAACTGTGTGACTGTAGAAGCGATAGAAATCTATGCTTTTTGTTGGAGCTTCTGTTCGAAGTAAGTAGAGAGAGAATCAGTAGTGCTGATATACAGTAAGTCGTCGACGTATGCGACGAGTAATATGTAGTCAGTACCGTCAGTAAGCAGGTACATTCCCTGGTCGTGTGGAAGTTGTCGAAATCCAGCATTTAACAGTTGACGATGTAGATACTGGTGCCAGAGTCGTGGTGCCTGTTTGATGCCGTAGAGAGATTTTCTGAGACGGCACACGCGGGGGGGATTAGTCTCGTAAGAATGTGGATACCCGACGAGAATTTGTGCATCGACAGGAGCATATAGAAAAGCGTTGGCGACGTTGCTTTGACGAAGTCGGAAATTTCGGTAGGCCGCGATGCAGAGAAGAATTCTGACACTAGTGTGTCGGCCGATGGGAGTGAAGGTTAGTTCGTAATCGAGACCGGATGTCTGCTCAAAGTCGCGGACGACCCATCGCGCTTTGAACTTCTCGAAGGAACCATCGGCATTTGTCTTTACGCGGAAAACCCATTTTCCGGTAAGAACTTTACTCCCCTTCATTGCTGTCAGCGGGATTAAACCCCAGGTGCCACGTTTTTTCAGAGCTGCTAGCTCTCTGTCCATGGCTTCACGCCATTTCTCTCTGTTAGGACTTGTCAAAGCTTGACGAACTGTTTTCGGCTCCAAAATGTTACTGCTGTTTGTCTGTACTGCGACTGCAAGTCCCAAAACTTGTAAACCAGTTTCTCTAAAACGCGGACGATTTGAATTGACACTGGAGAAGTTGTGTTCTGATCCCTGTTCCCCCCCAACTTCTTTAGGTGTGACACGTATCGCTGCTTCAGAGGAAATGGGCATGGGCTGCTGTTGGCGGTCACGTTCGTCATCGAGTTCAACATCGCGAACATCTTCAGGTTCTGCGTCAACGAGTGGAATAAACTCCGCAGTTCCAGCTGACCTGGTTGGCACGGGGACATCTGTGGCAGTTTCGGAGGATTTAGCCATGGACTTGTCCTGTACATCAGCTTCAGCGTCGTCGGTGGCAAAAGCACGCGAGCCCTTGAACAGCCTGGCACGATTGGCTGCTGCTGCCTGGTGAGCACAAAAAACAGTTAAGGTTAGGCGTTCGTAGAAAAGACAATCACGTGCTGCTACGATTTGACTCGTGCGGAGATCCATGATTTTCCACGCGTAAAACTGCTTCTCGATTCCAAGATGTATTCCCCACTTAGCCCGTTCCCAAAATTTTCTGAGAGCTGCTGTCGGAGGTCGATATTGAACGATGCACCCAAAAACTCTTAAAAGTTTTGTGTTGCCAGCTGTTTTGTCCACTGCAGGTGTGGTAAATAAAATTCCGGAAGGGAAGAACAAGTTAACAATTGAAGTTGTACAAGCTATTTTTATATATACTGGAAGTACATATTCGGTGATGTACCTGATCGAGCTATTTGCGCTATGCGCTCTAACCGCTACGGAAAAGAGCGCGACTGTTTGCGTGACTGAAACGACTTGCTGACGTAACCACCCAGAGGAGCGCTATTTGCTGCCGTCATTCTACGAATGCTATCGACAGTGTAACTCGACAATATCTATTGGAACTACTTACATAAATTTTTAAGTATGACTTTTATCACAACAGAGGGAACAAGGGAGTGTTAAATTACATATGATATATAAGGCTTGGTAGGTGTTACTGAAACCTACTGTAGAGGGTACAACATGTTAAGACTAGAAAGAATAATTAGAACAAGGGAGTGCATGGGAGATATAGCGTTTGGATTGTACCCACTAAGAACATACCGTAATCCCCCATATATAACACACTATGGTGTATATAAAAATTCACTAAGAAAATGACTGGGTCTTAACAGTGGCCCGGAAAAATATAGTGCCCATGTGTTATGTAAAATGCAATTTGAATTTGAGTGTTCAAGGCCATGTGAGCTCACAACTGCAGGGAGCGATTGTTAACGAACTATAGCATCCGATGAGACGAAACTTACGAACCAGGCGTCGTTGGCCAATCCCTGCTGAGTGCTGTGGTCAGGGCCAGCTTTGTGCCGCACCTGCGACTATCAAGACCTGAGAGGATTTCGATCGGGAGGATTTTGACCGTCAAATCACGGCAGAATCCGCGACTTCGACGGTTGAAAACCTCCCAGATCTCGACCTTTGCTGACGTTTCGATTTCGCGCTGCAACTTGTGTTGAGTCTTCCGCCCGTTCTTTTGCTACTAATGATAGTTGACATTGCATTTTTCATCCCGCTATTTTTTTTTTTCAATCGAGCGGAGCTTGAAAAACGACGAGATATTGTTCTTTGCTGCATAAAACAAGTAGGGTGTTATGTAAAATGCAACCCCCGAATAGCGCGTGCTCTCAAAATGCACCCTATTATAAGCTCTCCCTGCATAAACCACCCGTGGAGTAACTATTTCGGTGGGTGTAATATCCGGGGGATTACGGTACCCTATCTAACCTATAACTTCTACAAAATAATATATGTATAAGTTGACACACCCCCTAGGCTAGATAAGGGGTAGTGCTGAGCAAGAAACATGCAGCTCAGGGTGGCACTACTAGTCCAACCTCTAAGGCAGGGGCCCGAAGACCAGTCAGCAAGAGTACAAACAAGACAGAGCAAACCAGGGCGGCACTACTAGTCCAACCACTGGAAGAAAAGCCACAAGGCTAGTTTGGAAGGCATAAATATAAAATACACAATCAAGGGCCTAGCAAGTGAGAGTCAACAGGGACTAGACCTAACTGCAAGCAGTGCCACTGATGATCTCTAGGCAGAAGCGCCTTAGTAAAGATATCAGCTGTGTTGGCACCGGAGGCCAAGTGTACTACGCGGGCCTGGCGACGCTGCTGAAGCTCGGGCAAGAGGAAGTACCGCAGCTGGATGTGCTTCGTTCTGCCCTCAAGTCGAGGCTCCTGACACAGGAGGATCATGGCCTTGTTGTCAGCGTACAGAACCAGGGCAGAGCTAGGCCGCTCACCTAAGTCGGCAAGCAAGAAGGTCAGCCAGCGGAGCTCCTGTGCCGCCATGGCATTGGCTTAGATCTCAGCCTCGTAGCTAGACTGAGCAATAGATGAGGAGCGAGTGGACCTCCACGAGATGGCACCAGAACCAAGGCTGAAGCAGTAGCCGTGGGACGACCTGAGGGTCTCAACGTCGTCTGCCCAAGAAGCGTCTGTGTGTCCAGTAAGGACCACTGGCCTGCGTCCTCCCAGCACTAGCCCCATGCCCGATGTACTTGCAAGATAACGCAAAACCTTCTTAGCGGCCGACCGGTGCTATGGTCGGTGTCTGTTTGTGGCACAAAGCGGGCGAGGATGCTGAGAGGGTATGCGAGATCTGGATGAGTGCAAGTCATCAGGTACATGAGGCAGCCCACCAGCTCTGCGTAAGGACCATTGGGCTCTGCTGAATCTTCGAGAACTAGAGCTGAGAGCCTGTGGTCTACCGGCAGAGGTGTGGGCTGTGCAGAGGAGAACTGAAGATCGAACCTCTGAAGGACCTGGCGCACCAAGTGTGACTATGTGAGAGCGATGGTGCGAGCTGCTCTGTCCCTGGAGATCTGCAAGCCAAGGTAGCGGCGCATCTCTCCTAGGTCAGTGCAGGTGTGTCTCTTCAGCAGTTCGGCCTTCACGGAGGCCAGCACGTCTCTATCTGCAGTAGCAAAGATCAGGTCGTCTACGTAGACAAGGATGTAGAACAGAGTCTGGCCAGCACGAATGAAGAGCGAAGGGTCAGCAGAGGATGGAAAGAACTGCAGACCAGCTAGGGTAGCATGCAGCGTGTCGTGCCACTCGTGGGGCACCTATCGCAGGCTGTAGACCGGGCGCTGGAGGAGTCACTGGGTCCCAGGAGGGAAGGTTCCGGTGATGCCTTGAGGACGGCACAGGTAGACCTGCTCGTGCAGGCTACCCTGAAGAAACGCAGTGGAGAAGTCAAGGGAGTGGAGCTCGTAGTCATGCTGTGGTGCTACGTGTAGCAACGCCCGAAGAGTAGTCACCTTCGGGATCGGGGCGAAGGTCTGAAAGAAGTCCACCCCCTCTCGCTGACTGAAGCCTCTAGCCACATAGCGCGCCTTGAAGACAAGCGGCTCTTTAGGGGGGTGCTTCACCTTAAAGAGCCAACGGCCATCGACTACGTTCACCCCAGGTGGAGGAACTGCGTCGAGGTAGGTGCCGGTAGCCCTCTAAGATGCCATCTCCTGCTTCATGGCAGCTATCCACTGAGAGGCCCAGGGTCCCGAGGTCACCTCAGCGTAGGTGCGAGTGGTCGGGATGTCAAAGGCGTCGGGGTCACCCTCAGGGACTAGCAGCATGGAATAGAGATGGGGAGCAGCCTCTGACAAGAAAGCAAGCTCACACTGCCGGTCCTCCAAGACGTCAGTGCCGAGGGCAGGAGTACCCCCGACGAACGGAGGACAGACAGGGTCAGAGACCAGAGCGGTAGCAAAGTCAACGCGATGAGTAGAGGCAAAGTCAGCGACAGTAGCGACAAGAGCGTCAAGACTGGATACAGGAACAAACGGGTCAGTAACGAGGGAGGCAAGGACCCGGGGAACAAGAGGACGAGCAGCACAAAGGTAGTCAGACAGAGGGGGAGGCGCGACAGTGAGCGACGACGGAGGAGGCGAAGGCAAAAGGGGAGGACGAGATGCGTGGGAACGAAGCAATATAGGGTGAGAATGCTGAACAGGAGAGACAGAACGAGCACGAGAGGGACGGCGAGACCAGACGTGAGACGGAGGTGTCGGGTCAGGAGACAGAGGAGGAGTAACAAGAGGGGAACGAGGTGGGAAACGAGCCGGGGACGAGTCCGGCGGAGGAAACACAGGACCGTGGATAGGAAGAGGAGGAGACGGCGAGGGAGGTGCAGGCGATCGGTCAGGGGAGGGAAGGCCGAGCAGGGCCTCCTTGTATCCCTCCTTGTATCCTTTCTTGTATCCCTCTCCTTGTATCCCTCTATCGACTATTATGGACCTCGTTTCTCTCGTAATTGTCTATCCTAGCTAAACTCTCTCGTGCCATTTCATGGCTTCCTAGCATTCTAGTTGCTGACATGGAATCAGAGTAGGTCGCCCTTCCCGGGCCTGCTCCCCACGCTTCTGCCGCGTATTCGTTCGTCGTTTGTCCCCGCCGGGCCACAGTCACGGCCATGCCGAGCAGACGTTGCTGCGTCATGGTGCTGCCGTCGCAGCCCCGATGCATGGTGTCGACGCCACACCGCTGCGACGGCGTCATGCTGCTGTCGCAGCGTCGACATCCCGTCGTGGCATCGACGCCGCGCTGTGGCGGCGTCGTAATGCTGCGGTGGCGGCGTCGTCTGGTGGCAGCCGGCCGCGCAACGTCTATGGCGCTGCCGGACCACGGCCCCCCCCCTTCCCCTGCGTCCTCTTCCTCGCCGCAGACAACGGCTGACTCTTGCCGGCCGTCCCACCGTCGTGGGGCCTGGCCACGCCACCGAGAGGTGCGGGCGCCGCTGCCGCCGCCACTGTTGTCGAAGCTGCCGCTGCCGCCGCTGTCGCTGCTTCCGTTAGGGCCACGCAGTCGCACGCCGCTGTCGACACTGCCGCCGTTGCCGCCGCAGCCCCTGCGGTCGATGTCGCCACCTCTCGCGCCGAGGGGTCGACCGAGCTGGTGTAGCTGTCGCTGTGTCTGAGAATAGGTGTGCTTGAATTAGGGGGTGGGTGTGGTTTTGTGTCCTGCGTGTGTGGGTTCTTCTACTACCAAGCCTAGGGGGTGTGTTAAATTATATATGTTATATAATTGTAGGCTTGATAGGTGTTACTAAAACCTACTGTAGAGGGTACAACCCCCCTCCTTGTATCCCTCTCTCTACTATTCTTGACCTCTCTTCTCTCGTAACTTTCTCTCCTAGATAAACCCTCTCATGCCATTTCATGGTTTCCTAGCGTTCTATTTTCTGACAGGGAGATATAGGGTTTGGTTTGTACTCTCTAAGTGAGAATTTGAAATGTGATGCAGGAGACTAAGTATAGAACTTGCAGACACAAGTACTTTAAGTAGAAAGTAATACTGGAAGTACCTCCAATAACAGCCAGTATTAACAAGTTGTAATACATGAGTCAGTATTACAGCCTTGTGATACTTCAAGACTTAACCAAGGATCTTTGCTGGAATGATAGACTAGTAAGACTGCTGAAGTCTTAGAGCTTGTAAACTAAACAACATGTTAACAACTGAAGTTGTACAAACTACTTTTAAATCTGCTAGAAGTACCTATTCGGTAATGACCCTGTTCAAAAATATTTGCGCAGTGCACTCTAACCGCTACTGAAAAGAGCGCGACTGTTCGCTTGACTGAAACGGCATGCTGACGTAATCATCCAGATGAGCGCTATTTGCTGACGCCATTCTATGGATGCTAACTACAGTTTAACTCGATAATATCTATCAGAACTACTTACAGAAATGCTGAAGTATGATTTCGTCACAACACTCCCCTTCATTTCTCGAAGTCCGATAGTGTCACTTCTTGATACTTCTGCAGAACTTCTGACGTGTCAACTTCTTGGTGAGAAAATCTGCAGCCACTTCATTGGTCGAAAAGTAGACCAATCGCATTCTCCCCTTCTCGACTTCATCTTTGAGGAAGAAGTACCGCAGCGAAATGAATGTGTTTCGTCCTGTTGGTGAAACCATGTTGATGCGCAAGTCTCATTGCACTTTGGTTTTCGCACTGCAGGGTGAACTGTGTACTTGCTGTTAATTTCACTTCCTCCAGTAGCTCTTGTAGATAGAGACCTTCGCGAGTAGCTGTGCAGGCAGCTATATGTTAAAT